GGCCTGCATTTTCCAGCTTATTGAAGAATGGCCAGACAACTCACGTGACCAACGCAGTGTGGGGCGGCCTCTGTCCAGCAGTGGATGGATAAAGGGCTGTCTATTGGTATTATTTTTGTATTGGGGAGCATGCAGACTTGTAACATGCAATGCATCGATTTCCAGTTGACCTGATCACGGAGGAATCCCCCATATTAAAAGACGCTAAGTACAAATTACAATCGAGGTCTATTCCGAACCATTTGCATTTCCATCATTGTCATCGTCACCTCCTTTGCTCAATCTATCATCATCGCTATTCCAAGATCTGTAAATTGAGCAGTGGAAAGTTAACAGCGATTTGTCATATAGACCGGCCTCTTGCCTTGGGAATGGTTAAGTTACACCTCCAGCTTGGGACCTCCGTTGTTTCGGTGAGCATTGCCCGGTCCTTGGTTGGGCACAGGGCACTCTGGCTCTCTGATCGATATTTCGTAGCCTCTCTTGGAGGCTTCACATTGTGTCCGGTTTGAAGGATGCGGCGAGGAAGCCACGGATTATTTGTTTTAAGCCACAGCCACTCGGTGAGTACTAAGCCTCTACGAAGTTCAAGTGTGTCTCAAGCAGGGTTATTGTTTCCAGATCTGGGAGAGTGTTATTGAGGAACTAAGATATACGGATTATAGATGGACAGACTGGTATCTAATGGGGGCCTCTAAACAAGAGACTTTTTGATGATTCCATGATGTGTTCTCTTGGCAAAACACTAACAGACCAATCTTTACTTGGGTCTGGTGGCAATAGACTAACCAGTCTCAGATAGCTTGTATTATTGGATATAATAATCTAAACGCACATTTGTAAATGTGGAGGAAAAAAACTGGCGGACCCGGAGAAAATTCCACGCGACTACAAGTAAGAGAGAGAGAGCGAGACATGCGAACTCCAATTATACAGCAGGCGTCAGTGTCGGGATCGAACCCATGACCTCCTGCATACCAGCCAAGGGAGATGACATGTCACCACCGCGGCGCCCCGTCTTGCCATCCCACGTGGTGCTCAAGGGGGATCGGTTTAGCGAGGCCCAGAGCCGAGGGTTTTCTTCTCCCACAAGCAGGGCCACTCTGTCACACTTCCAGGGGGACTTGGCTCTTTAACTGTAACTTTTTTCCTCCACCGCCGCTAGCACCACCGCCGCTGAGTGTTTTTGTTGGCCGTGAATCGGAAGTGGCCGGGGATGTCAAGGCGGCTTTGGGAGAGCGCGGTGCACTAAAATCACCGGAGGTCTCTGAGAGCCAGCCATGCGGGAAAGCCTGCCCTTTTGAGTGGCCATTAAATTAGGGGCGCTTTACAAAAGAAATACGGGAGCCGCTCCGAAGAGAGAGAGAGAGCGGCAAAAAAAATGAAAGGCAAGAAAATGCGGTTAGTTTTGCTGACTTTGAAGTTTGCGCTGTGTGTGTGCAGGAGGTGAGAAAAGCGGTCAGCCCCTGACAAAGCTGCACTCAAATTAAAGCAATCATCACCGGTCGCTTCGTTTAGCTTGTTTTGTTTCATTGTCATCGTTTCTTTTTGCCGAGTGTGTGGAGTCACGTGCGCCATTTAGACAGCCTCCTGTGGCTGCGAAGAATGACATTTGAGCGAATTACTCTTCAAACTCGCCACACACACACATACACATGGAGATAGAGAAAAGTGTTCTCTGTTTTTATCGATAAATTCGCGGGTTGTTTTCAGCTGTAAAACGGTATTGATTTCGAGTTCATATCTTAATTTCGCCATTCTTTCCAATGTTATTCCGTGATGGACGCATCACCTGTAAAGTTCTCTAAAGCCGGAGTTCGCGAGTGGACGGCCGTGTGGCTTGACGCACGCTCGGCCCCGAGAGGGGACTATTGGGGAGCCTGCGATGTCGTTTGCGCGTGTCGGCAGTTGTGACTCGCAATCTTTGCCATACGCTGAAACCTCACTGGTCGTTGATTCCAAGCGCATTACAGCTGTCTCGGCAGGTAGTGCCTGTGTTCCTGTGCAGGGCACAAACATAGATGATAATTTACAAAACAAACTCGGGAGAGAGAAGCGTCTGCCCTCTGAATATTTGCACACAACGAGGTGCATGCAGTAGAGGGGAAGCATTTGGCAGGAACACGTAGATGTGATCAGGAGGAGGGAGGGTGTGATGGACACTGGTCCAGGATGGAGGAAGATGGGCTAAGCAACTTGGAGTTTGTGAACAGGAGGAGGAGGAGGGTATGATGGGTGGGACATACGTGTCAGGGTGAAGGATGAGGAGGGCAGGTGACCGAGACGGGCAGTGGAGAGGCACCCAGAGGTCGGCATCCATGGGGCAGACAGTGAAAACACAACAGTCGCTGCTCAACTGATTCATTCAGAGCACGGAGCGACAGTTGTCAGCTGGTGATTCCACGCCACTGGCCAACTCGCTGCCCTGCCAGTTAATTGTCGCCGCAATGAAATCTACGTAAGAATAATAATAATATAGAGGTGGTTACATGATACTGGATTTGACAGTAATGATAGTAGTTGCCAATAATTAATTAAATAGTGCCCTGTTATATATCCAGGAAAGTGTCCCAGAGTCTGAAGATTTATTTTGAAAAGTTTCCTGCATTGGGATGTTGCCCAATTCTCATAATTGAGTGTTTTATTTGTATGTCTGGTGTCTTCCAGACACTGCATTCCTCCTACGTGCAAATTCTAATTCAGAATTTCTTGAAAGATTGCGCAGAAAATCCAGAAAGAATCCGGCGATGCTTTCCTCTCCGGATTTAGGAATTACGGCGTCGTTAATTTTAACTGGGAAACAAACGCCTCCTCTTGTGAACGGCGTCACAGGCTCCCGAACGTCCACTTCACGGCATGCAGCTCAATGCCCCCCTGCGGAAACATTTCGGATGGCTGCTACTGGAACGAAACCTTCGGCTGGCTCTCCCCGAACGGCAAGGATAGCCACGGCCAAAACTCGTGCTCGATCTGCCCTGGTGATGGGTGCAGAACGGCAAGCGGGGGGAAGAGGGGGGGGGGAGAAGAGTGTGGGGGGGATGGGGAGCAGGGCGAGAGACAAAAAAACGAAACGAGCGCAGCAAAGCGCCACAGCCGACTCACCGTTGGGAGCCGCCTGGAAATGCGGAGGTTCAAAATGTCACCCCCCTGCCAAAACATTAGTGCCGTGTCGCCTTTCTGTTAAGAATTGCCAAGGCATTCGGAACTTAAAGAAACCCATCTAGGCATGAATGGCTTAATGAGCTTAATTAGGAGCTGCTGGGCCGCGGTTCTGCTAATTGACTGCTCAATGAATGGTGCAGCGGTGGGGCAGGGTGCGGGGGCGTGGGTGCCCGGTGGGTGGCGGTGGTGCGCGGGTGGTGGTTGGGGGGGGGGCGGGCGGGCGGCGTGATGGGATTTGCAACAGAAAGCTCCTCTGTGTCACCTTCTCGCTTTTAAACCCCCACCGCCCCTCGCTCGCTCGTGACCGAAAAATTGTGCTGATGTTTCCACTTCCATTATTCCCCTGCTGCCCTCGCCGTCCGGCACGGTGGCACGGGCGCGTCGCTGGGTCCCATTCCCGGCAGATTCCATTGCGGGGCGACTCTTAACTCGCAGGGCAGCGAGGTGGTCGGCAGATGGCAGTACAGCAAGTTGGTTCCCGGTCTGTCGATGGAGATCTTAAAAGTTGTCTCCCTCGTACGTGTGGGGTTTCTCCGTCCACTGCCGTTTCCTCCAAAATGCAAAAGAGCTCATGAAAGTGGAGTTGGCCAAACGTCCGAAATTAGGGCCCCCTTGACATAAAGTCTTGAGAATTAGAGTGACTTTCCCGGCTAAATAAATAAATATTACGCCATTACACAAATCCTCTCTATGGAGGGTCTATTTATTTGTGGTGATAAAAAAAATTTAGGGAGATTTGAATAATTTGTGATTGTTATTCAATTATTCTTGAGTACACAATTATAATCTCGGGAGCAGCACGTGGGGGGAGAGGGGGCCGGGGCAATGGTTGGCGTGCTGTTCTTTGTACGGAGCCACCCGAGTTTGATTCCTGGTTGTGGCTATCTTAAGTGGCGAGCGATATCCGTTCTCTCACGCCTTACCCTTCGCCTGCCTTCACTGATCATCCTGGTGAAGTATGGTAAAAAAAAAAACCCGTCACGATGGACACCGTGAATTATATCCATCATCCAGCAGCGGAGTGACAAAGGGGCTGTAAAGTGTTATTAATGTAATTAATTGTAGTAATATATTTGGTAATAATAAGGCAGTGCTTGGAATATTTGTCACCGTATTGATTAAACTCTGGGCACAGTTGGACATTCTTTGTTGTCGTTATTTAACCCATGGGGAATCCGTTATCTTGACGTCCTCTTTTGCAAGTGCGACCTTGCAACAGACATGAGAGAGTCTCTGATTGGTTGGAAGGAGGTCATGTGGGTTTGACTGCCTTGTCAAGGGCAGGGTGTCTTGTGTGGAAAAAAAATGGCCACGTAATATTGAATATATACAGGAGAAGCGTTCAATGAGTCAAGTGAATATACCTTAGTTAAACTTATTTAAGCATCGTGTTCCTCTGAGCTGAATCTGAATAGCCACACAGGTAAAGTCACTTGTCATTGTCTCTCTGCTCGATCGAGTATTACACGGCACTCATCTCCATTGGCTGGCAGCACTGAGCCTGTGGTGGAAGTTCCACGTTCCCATGGCAGGGACCAGTCTCTCCCTGGGATGACCACAAATCCAAGAGAGAGTCACCAGAGCCACCAGAACCACCGGAGCGTTTGACCCACTTTCTCTTCATAGGTCAACGACTCGTGACTTGGCACGAAGCACAACCCAAAAAACACGTGGGAGAGGCGACACGGCACCAGCGCGAACGCCACGCGGCCTCTGGATGTCCCCGTGTGACAGGGGCGGGGGGGGGGGGGTGGCGGTGGGAGTGAGGTCTGGCGGCCGGGATGTCGCGTTCCCTGGGGCGTGTGTCTGACCCGCGCGCCCGTGTTTGTGTTTTGCAGGAATGCCCCGACACCTGGAGGCAGTTCCACCTGACGGTGAGTTCCCTTCTCACGGGGGGGCGGCCGTGAGGCCGCGGAGGCTGGCAGCGCTGCGCACGCGCGCACACACACACAAAAAAAGACAAAGATCCCCCATATAGCCTTAACAGACTGTAGGGGCAAGTGCTGTTAGCGAGCACCTATGAAGGCCGGAACGGTACACGAGGGGGTGGGTGGCCAGCACCACGCCCGACCGCCTTTGTCTCCCTAGTCGCGATGTTTACACACCGCACCAGGTACTCATTTGAGGCTGAGTCGACCTAGGGGAGGCCCGGGACCGGTTCAGATAATCGTCACTGGTGTTGGCTGTGAGCGGGAATCGAACCCGGGTGCCAGGTTCATAGCGCAGCGCGCTAACCGCTACACTATCGCTCCCCACGCGCACACACACGCGCACACACACGCACACACGCACACACACACGCGCACACACACGCTATATGCGCATACGCGCACACGCGCGGGCTCCTGTCCGCAGGTGCACACGCACTTACGCATTCACATTTGCAGTCGCACACACGCGAAAACATACACGTACACACGTACGCACTCAAACAAATGTATACACATGCATAAAGACAACGATCCCCCTGTATAGCCTCAACAGGCTTTAGGCACAAGTGCTGTTAGCTTGTACCTATGAAGGCCGGCATGACACACGAGAGGGCGGCTGGGTAGCACAGCGCCCGCTCGCCTTTGTATCCCTAGTAGCAATCTTTACACACTGCACCAGGTACTAATTTGAGGCTGAGTCGACCTAGGGGAAGCCCAGGTCCCATTCAGATAACCGTCATCGGTGTTGGCCGTGAGCGGCAATCAACCTCGAGTCACCGGGCTCGTAGCGCAGCGCGCTAACTGCTGCACTAGCGCTCCCCACACACACACACTCAAACACTTACACCCACAGTTGCACACACTGTGCACTCTCATGCATTGACGTGCTCAAGCACGCCGAGCGCTGCTCCATGTCAGTCGTTGGTTTGTTGTTGATACTGGAGTGAAATTAAAGTGTCTTCATGTTGTGGCGCTGAGCTGCGTTGGAAATTCCACATTCCCGGTTGCGCGGCAAAAATCCACATTCCGACTCGCGGATGAGCCCAACGAGCACCGGCTTTGTCGGAAGTCATTTGCGGTCATCCCTTGGAGAGATTGGGTACTGCCAGGGGAATGTGGAATTTACACCGCAGGCTCAGTCAGGGTCACCAGCGGAGATGAGTGCCACCCAAAGCCTTCGTTGGAGCAGGTAGGCGCACGGTAACCTGAAGTCTGTGATCGCTGTCCTGTGTTCTCTGGTGTCAAAATATAACAGGCGGCAGTGTTTTACTTTCAGTGTATAGCATAGCGTAGTGTTCTGATCCACCGGCCTATGGACCCTCTGAACCAATCTTCCGAGCAGCATTTATGAAACGAGGTAAACTGCGGACTAGATTATGCTTGCTGAGTCGCATGAGCACAGTGTTGGATTGCCTGATGTTTTAGGTAAAAGTGCCCATTCATCGCAGAACATCAAAGCTCAAAGTAGTTGTTTTTGTTTAAGTGGTTTTATTGATTAATTTGATTTTTCCCTAAACCTTTTCCTTTCGGCACCGCCGCCCCGGGGCGGTTCGCACGCAAAGCTGCGCCGGTGCTGCGGTTGCGCTGAATAATTAATGTGTGTTTAGGAAGCCATTACAGGGCGTTATGACATTAAGCCGCTGTGTTAGCTGTCACGCGGGCCGACCGTCCGTGCTGCGCCCGCTTCCCGGTGTCCTCACAAGCGCGCGATTTCTGTCCGGATTTCCGCCGCTGCTGCCGCCCCTCTTTCCCCATCTCCCCTAAATCCTCTAAACAAATCATTCGTTCCCTCCCAGCACCCCCCCCCCCCCCACCGCGTACCTCCCGCCCTCCACCAGTATCTCTCCAGTCCGTGTTTATCCCTTGCCGGGTTTTAGAGTGAATCCCCTGATGGGCCACGTTGGGCCACCGCTCCCCCTCCCCGCGGTCCCCCCCAGTACGCCCCCCTCCTGCTTTGTATTACTGTTTAATTTGTATTTAAATGAAGTTGTAATTAACAGGGCCCAGCTCACCTGTGCTAGGTGTCAGCGCGAGTGATGGATGATAGCTCCCTTCCTCTCTTATGCCTGTCTTCGCCCCTTCTTTCTTACCTCCGGCGCCCGAGCGGGCTTGATTTTTTTGTGTCTTCTCGTGTTCAGTGAGAGCGGTGGGGGTTGGGGGGGAGGAGAGGCGAGGAGGAGAAGGAAGGCAGAGAACGGCAGAGAGGGGCGATTGAGAGAGGTTTGAGAGGGAGTGAGAGAAGTTGCAGAGATGCGAATGTTGAGAGAGAGAGAGAGGGTTGAAGTGAGAGAGAAGGCGGGTGGAGGGTTTGGAGACGTGGAGAGCGCAGGAGAATTTTGTGACGAGAGAGGGGCACGTTCATCAAACGTTGGTGAGAGAGAATAGAAGGTGGGAAAAGGAGCGTTTAAGGGATGTGGAGAGACACAGGTGCGTTGGAATAGAGAGATGTTTGGGGACGAGGGTTGAGATTTGTAGATGACGGGATGAAGAGATGGTAATGGAGTAGCAAAGAGTGAGAGAGAGAGCTGTCTCTTGCGACGACGAGGGAGTGCGACGACTCTGTGTGCAACGACAAGAACCGTGCAAGGGGTAGAAATTCATGGCCACAAAGGTGCAAAAGAGTCAACTGGGCCTTTACTGCTGTGGTGAGCATGGTGCTCGAGCCAGCCCCTTCTACAGCCCCCCTGAGCCAGTGGTGGAAACTCCACATTGCTATGGTGCGGTGAGTCTGTCCATAATACAACCGCTGTTGAATATGCATCAGGAGGGGGGTGGGGGGAACGCGTAACGAGGGGAAAATACAAAAAAACAACAACAAACACAAAGCTGAACAAAACCAACAAACACAGGGAGTGCGGGCGGGTGAGAGGGGTATTTTGGAGATGCTCGGAAGAGATGGAGAGAGAGGGGCACATCTGCAGGTGTTGCTCGAGGCTACAGATTTCGTGGAGCCTGGGCTGGCAGGATTCTTGCTGGTGCAGCGTGAATGGGACGAGCGGGTGACGAGAGACGCCCGCCCGGCGCTCCCCCCCCCCCCCCCCCCGCTACTCCTCCTCGTCCAGCAGGAGCTGATTAAAGCGGAGCGGAATGAGTGTGGTGCGGCGTGCGGTCGGCACACGGGCGTCCTGCAGCCACCGGCTCAATCCCACGCGCGCCGAGCTGTGCGCGTGCCTGCGAGTGTGCGAGTGTGTGTATGTGCGTGTGTGCGTGCGTGTGTGTGGTGCATCGGCCAGTCATCTCAGTCAGTCAATCCATGGCACCTGGGTCTGTCCCGTGACCTCCTGCCAGCGGGCGTTCGACAACTTCACGTGGCCTTGAAGTGTACACAGCCTGGCACAAGTGCCGTGGTGACGTCACTGCGGTTGTTGTTGTTGTTTCACGTGTGTTGGTGTTGTGGGGAGCGGTTGGGCAGCGGTCGACGCACCGTGCAGCCAACCTGGCTACCCGAGTTAAACTTCTGAAATTTTGGGGTCCTCCCGTAGGTCTACTGAACCTTTAATGAGTACCTGGTAAGGTGTGGAAACATCAATATTGGAGATACAAAAGTCGGCCAGGCGTGGTGCTGGCCACCCACCCTCTTTGTGTGCTGTGCGGGCCTTAATAGGTGCTCGTTTAACACCACTTGCTCCAACAGACTGTTAAAGGTTACACGGGGGATCTTTGTGTTTGTGGGTAGCGGCAGTGCGGCAGCAGTCAGCGCAGAAACTCAAGTGTCCCTTTGCTCCAATGAGAATTGGGTGGTGCTCATCTTCATTGATGTTTCTGATCCAGTGATGGAATTTCCATATTCCTATGGCGGGCGCAAGTCTCAATACATAAATTATTGAGCCTCAACCTTGCTATTATCAAGATATACATTGCAATATTACACGAATAAAGAACATACAAATATCAAGCTGTATATTGAGAATATTTTTACGTCATAATTTAGTTTTTTTCAGGAGGTTAGGGGGATAAAACTAAGCTCTTAAAGCATTTGAGACCAATAACATTAAGTACCGCTCCATGAGAAGTCAGTAGTTGTCTGGTTGTCTGAAGAGTCTTCCCTTTTTGGCTCGTTTATGTAAACCTGGAATTGATCTGTAGTGTTCAGGGACAACCGCACATGTCGGGATAACGCTCAAATTCCACGCGGGTCAGCCCCCCTACTTGCTGTACTGCCTCCGTCATCCACTATCTCGTTTACCCACAGATAGGTGTCGCACGCACGTGATAGTGCAATCCGTGGGTGATCCGCCAATCCCGCTTCTCGCCGGCTGTCGCCACACCTAGCTGTGAGCGTTGTCGATGTCCGTCTGGGCGCCGATGCAGCACCGTGCCGAGGCCCGGTCGGTCCTTCGCCAGTTTACGTGGAGGTGACGGTTCAACACCCCCACCCATGACCGAGTAGTCCTTTGTGTGCCGTGTTAAAGCCAAAGTGTTGAAATTTGCAACAGCTGACAGACTAAGCAATTAAGTGTTGTTTTTTGGTTAATGCGGCTTAGGCCGGGTGTCCACTTTCTCCTGTCTAAAAGCGGTAATGAAAAGTGCAGTCGATAAAAAAAATGGGTTATCAAACCTCACCGGGCTCTGCACTGGCTAAGTAAAAAGGCATTGTTATTGATTGATTGTATTGTAATAACCATTACATTCGACATAGCCGTTAGAACATTAGTATGTGCTTGAGTGTGCGTAGGTGGCTTATGTATTTGCATAATGTAATTAAAGTACGGAAATAAATATTTGAAACTGTAATAGAACTTTCGGAACACTACCCGCAACACTAAATAGCATTGCATTGTCAATTTTCAAATCACACAGTGATACGTAAAGTAATCAAACAGCAGCGGTGGCATTAATGAAAGCAACAGTAATATTTGCCAGCGGATTGCATGCCGTGGAGTTTGGTTATCTAAGTGACCGTTCACACAAGCCCTATTTGTGTTTTTTTTATATGCACGCTC